CTTAATTTTACCCAACACTGTTTTGTTACATGCCGTGTATTTATCTCTCCGCCATCTTGAAATGCACTTCGTAACCGACCCTTGGCCTTGGTTCGGTTTTGGTCGGAACAGTGACGTCACTCCAGCCAACCGAAGTCACAAAAACGCTCAACCACCAAAGCCGAAACATGTTTCTGGTCACGATCGCTAAAACACACCCATAATCACCGAGTATTGTGCACATGTCGTTGGGATAGTGTAACCTATAGAGGTTAGGCCAAAAAAAGTCTCCGGTTTCTGGTATGGAGCTTGCCCAAAAAGTGGTGCGGTGACGCGGCTTTTTTTTTGGTTTTACCTTTTTTTCTTTGCTTCAAATGTCGGCTGATGACTGCAAATGGTGCCCAATTAAACTTAGTGCAAGTGTTATGGGAGACCAGAAAGGCCACATAAAGCTTATTATCGATCATAACCCCATCTAAAAACACGTTAAAATTGTGCAGCAGGAGGATTCCAGTCAAACCAGTGAGTTTGGCAGTTTTGAGACATCATCTTTCATTGAAAAAAAAACGTTTTCATTTTGCCGACGCGCATGGCTACGGCGACGCGCGCGCATACCAGAAACCGGAGACTTTTTTTGGGGGGGGGGGGCCTTAGGGCTTGTGACTCAAGATCCGAAGGTCGAAAACAGGCCACTGGCCATACGTTGTGTCCTTGGGAAAGTCACTTCATCCCCACTGGCCTCCGTTATCTGATGGTTCATAATTATGGTCAGGATGAGGTTCGACATTCCGAATTTAGAATAAGGTTAATTAGTCTGAAGGCAAGGGCGTCTCCAGGATTTTTCTAGAGGGGGCAAATAAAGCACATTATTTCCCAAAATCCTTGTACTTTCTGAAGCATATGGTCAATTTATCAATATTTCGAGGGTGGGCGGGGGATGAATACGTCTTTTATCTGAATTTAATAAATATATTCAGTCTACACATGTTTATGAAGTAATCAATGAATGTAACGTAACGTAATTTTTTTTAACGTCGATGTTTGTATGTCAACACACTCGCCAGCCGTTAAGAGCATTTTGAGTAATGTGTTATTTTCCTTAAGTATTATTGGTTAACCCCTCGCACGTGACAAGTCACGAGTCTGTCACTCTCCTACAAATATGCCTCCTTCATGCTTACGCATGCGCAAAACTACCAACGAGTCCATGCTTCACGGAGTCGGATTTGCACGCTACATACACCGGGCCGCGATTTTTTTTATTTACACAATAATTTACATATACAATAATTTATTTACACAATGCATCGTTAGAAAAATAGAAATTAAAACTTCACAAAATAACAGGGAAAGCATCTTAAATAATTTAATAATACAGACGGAACAACTATATCGGACAGAAAAGATTGTGCCAGACCAAAAAAAAATAAACCAAATCCACTTGATGAGTTCAGATTCCTTTATTCGTCTATACAGAGACCTTTTATCCTATATAAAAAAAGTAATGTAATGAAGAGGCTTTTTTACCTTTTTAGAGAAAATCAGATGAAAATTTCATATTCGAATATCTCGAAAGGGGGCAAGGGTGATTCTGACTTATTTGGATGCGGTTTACAAATGAAACTGAATCCCAAATGATGAATTGGAAAACAATATGTTAGGCGAACCGATACCTGTGAATCAAATAATGGAACCAATGATGAAGATAGAGACCAGAAATTGATGTGGAAATAGACAATGGAAATGGAAAATACAAACTGTTTTGTCACTCAATATAGCGCGAATTACAGTGTAGAAATGAAACTACTGTCTCTTAATGACGAACAGAGCGCACTGTTTGAAATATCGAGTTAAAACAACTGGTTCTTCTCAGAACCACACAACTCAAAGAGAAATAAAATTCATATGGAATATCGCAACCTTCCATACTTTGAAACTACTTAGGGGAAAAAAACTCGGTATGAAACCAATATTTCAGAATTACACTTGGAGCTACTTATTAAGTGAATACAAACAATATCCAATGTAAACCGTATATGACAATACATGTACAATGGAATTTGAAATTACAATCGCAAAAATTTCTTGGTAGAATATCAACTGATGAGTTATTTCAAAATTTGCCATTCTCTGCAGTTGTCAAAAGCATCTTCGGATATACTGGGCTCAAATTTCAGATTAAAAACCTAGTTTGACCAATTTTGACAAACGACAGGGCAAGGCTCACCCGTCACCAGGATTTTTTTTCCAGATGGGACAAAGCACATTTCCCCCCAAATCCCTATCTTTTGCAGCATTTTCCCGATTGATAATTTTTTCGAGGTATTTTTACCCATGTAAATGGCTACAGCCCATGCATATGGCTACAGCTCACCAGAAGCGAGTGTACTAGAGTTATTGAACTTGGCAAAATAAAGACACGAAATTGCAGTTTGATTTTTTTAAGGCGTTAACTTGAAAAGGACAATGAGCAAGACAATTATCGGTGTTATAAAGTAACGATAAATGACAAACTAAAACGAACACTTTCTTTGGCCAAACTCCAGTTCAATACTTTAAACAGGCAACACGTTTAACATGTTCTATAATGCTGAACTATTTCATGTTAGGTTTCCATGCTTTGCATAGACTCAATTAGTGTGGGTAAAAAAACGTAATTTCTGAATGTAGAGAAAGTTATATTTCTAACTTATAAAATGTTAGTAGAGTTGCATAATTCTTATCTATGATTAATCGTTTAATATAGAATATCAAGTCCTAAAATGTAACCTTTCCCATTTTTATGCGCTAAATTTTTGAGTAAAAATTTCAGTACACGTGCATGTAATTCAATGCAGATATACTGTTTCCCAACTCCACATGAAACATTTGAAATGGTCTGCAGAGCTATAGACTCTATGCATTCAGCACCCATCTCTGAGGCTTTGTTAGTCTGTTATATCGTTTTAAATCAGTGCATATCCCCATACCCAACGGAATACCAAGAAGCTTGAGCAAGTCCAACGAAGCTCGGCTTGTTTCGTCATGGGCGATTACAGAAGAACAAACAGTGTTACATCCATGTTAGTTAAAACATCTTGACTGGCCCTCACTACAGGAACGTCGTGACCAAAATCGCCTGCAGATGATGTACAAGATCAGATACGACTTGGTCGACATCCCTTGGAGCAGCTACCTTACTCATTTATCTACATCTACCAGAGGACACAGTTGCAGATTCACTATCCCACACACCAGATCTTCAGTGTATGCTAGCTCGTACTTCCCACGTATCATCCGAGACTGGAACAACCTCCCAGTTGATCCTGCTGCATACCCATCCCTCAACGCCTTCAAGTCTGCGCTGAGGGACATCCGCTCGGATTAATCACACCACCAGATTTTTACTTGCACCTGTATATACAGCACTGTACCCGAGTACAAATTCCTGTTGTCTTTAGACAATGCATGCGCCCAATGCAGTGCGTTTATCTTCAACCATATGATGGCAGCACTTATGGGCTCTGTGCACCAACAAAAGAGGGCGCCATTGTACATAGCAACGACGTCCCATGGGCGGGACACATACATTTCGCTGGTTGACGCGCGCGCACCGTTCCTTGTGTGTGACGCACGTACACCGGGGGATTTGTACTATTTGCGTGGCCGCGTTTCGCGACAAACTATTGCAGTCAGGCAAGATGGCGTCGGTCGGTAACCCCAATTGTACTTTCTTTGCCAGTGAGGAGAACGGATAAGAAGATCCCTGTTGAACAAAAGCATAGACCTCAAAGATGGCTGCCACGCAAAGCATCTATGCCATTATTGGGGTGGTCACTATTGCCCATGCTAATTAAACTCGGTGCATAATGGAATTTCACATTGACCAGTTTTTCTATTCTTGGAGGGAGGGCCACTCCACCCCCCCCCCCCCCTCCCCACACAAAAATTCCTAATTACTGAGTTGAGGTCCCAGTAATTCATAGAATGTTCCGAATATATTTTCAATGGATCAGATATACAATGTTTTTACTATGTGTGTTACTTTATACAAATATTGAATGCTTCGAGTGGTGTAGTAAAACTAGCCTCCCAAGGTGATCCATGGACATTCTATTTTCCCGAGGTGAAGCCGAGGGAAAATAGAATGATCCATGGATCACCGAGGGAGGCTAATTTTACTTCACCACGAGATAAAGCATTCAATATTTGTTTTATAACACTTCACCCACAGATTCTGCTTGATTTTAATATTTTAAATTATTTAAATCTGAACACAGCTGAAATAAACTTCAATTTCAATACAAAATTGGTGGAAAATGTATTTCTCTCTTAAAAACTACCCCTTCACGAAATGTTTGAACCCAAGTCTGCGGCGCGCTCTCTTTGGAATAATACGCGCTACGCACAACGCGCAACGCGCACACCAGCATGCATTTGCACACAAATACCGCGGCGTGGAAATAGTACTTTGGTTGCTAATGGTATAGTACTTTGGTTGCTATGCGCATAGTACTTTTGGCTGTGCACAGAAAGATAGCAAAATTAGAAAGTAACATGTGACTTGCTCTCGGCCAATCAAGACACAGAATCTGTGGGTGAGGTGTTATAATACACAATATGGCAAAATACGGAGGCAACTTTGTCAAAATTATTCACGGTTAGACTCTCACTCTTCTTGAATTTGAGGGGAAAAAAAGAGTAAATATTAGTTCAGAATTCACATCTCAATCTTAATCAGTGATGGCTGTAACACAAGCCCCGTCTCACCTGCTGTGCACTGTAAAAGAATCACGGACCACACATTGTCAAACAATAAAAGTGTTGAATCTGTAACACAAAATCAACCCACTGTCCGGAAATGTCAAGTTTCGACAAAATGTATCACTTTCATCAATACTAACACTGAAAGTGATTTTCACTTGTCCTTATTTCATAGGTTGTTGAATGCATCAAAAAAAGTCCCCCGTCAAGACATGGAGTTACTTATGTCTTAAATGATTCAAAAAGTTGTGCTTTAAAATTAAAAAAACAAAAACAAATTCAGCCAGGAAACGACACTGAATTTTTTCTTGACTCAGCCTCAAAGCCACACACAATCCACAAATTGAATTTTTTTCTTGGCTATAGTCTTTGCATGTATTGTGTGTAAAGCATTGCTGTAGCTGATATCGCATCACCAAGGCCAACGGTTTTTCCTGGTTTCTTACAAACGAGCACCGGACTAAAATGAAACGTAACTTGACCTCTCTTCCAGGTCATCAGTGGGTTACTGGGGTCTACTATAACAACCGTTTTCCTGAGCGGGGCATAGTCCGCAGATAATGGAAATGCTTTGGGGATACGTAAAGTTACTTTTGATGGTTGTATGGGCACGTCCCCGCACGCTTGTCTGCCCGCTATGCGTGCCCCGACACCCACGGCCGATACGCTGTTGTCCCACTGGTTCGGTAGAGTAGCCACTACATGAAATGTCAATGAGTGAAAATGCACTCTGGTCAGAAGTGAACTTTGACCTTTGACCAGCGAGGTCAGGATCCAGTACAGGATATCGGCCACGGCTCCTATTTCTATGTAGCCAGACTCCTCAGCTGTGATGTCCGGGTGGGGCCCATTGTTGGCGCGGGATACCAGACCAAGTTCCTGCTCGTTCAATCCCAACGAATGCACGGATGATAAAACCTGTGAAAAGATGCAAGTTTTGAAACGTTATGCAATAGCATGGCATCAAAGGCAGAGACTGGTGGAAAGGGGGGCAAATGTAACAAAAAGAGGTCCTTTTTTTTGTGTCCATACATATTTGTACACAATTAAAATGCAACCATGACAGAGTTTCATGTTCTAAATTAAATTCTATCTGTCAAATCTGAAAGGATCTTTTTTGGCAATCAGTTTAAATTGGAAAATTATAAAAACAACACAACATTCCTTGTCACCTGTTCAGGTTACTATTCATTCTAAAATGTGTATTACAGCAAAGCACAGATGCTTCATATTTCTAACTTTTAGAGAAAAAAATGATGGTGTAATCCGGAACAAGTTCATTCAGATATCAGTGGACTGACATGTGATTGACTTCTGACTAGACTAGTGAAGTGACTTGTGATTGACTTGTGACCAGACTAGTGAATTGACTCAACTGCAAAACTGCAACAATGGTCACTCATTTTCACGATTCTTCTTACCTGAGCAACTATAAATTGTACTAGTCCTTCATTAGCCATGCTGGCCAACTCCAGATGTAAAGGCAGACTCTTGGGAAGTTTCTTCAGCTCAGTAACCAAGGCAGACAGTTTGTTCTGCTGTTCGGACTGACTGCTAGAGTCTAGAAGATGGAGACCAGAGAACATTACCACGTCCGGATTAAACTCTGTGGGAGAAAAAAAAGGTCAATACTCTTCAGCTCATCTGTTCAGTGACTTAATTCGGTAGCCCCAATCGTTTTGTAGTCTGTGGAATATCCCATTGCACTGCAAGGGTATATGATATGATATATGAGATTCGGCGATTAATCATTCAAAATAAGACTGCGTCTTGACCTCGAAATTCTGACCATTCAGCGGGCGCCTTCTATCAGGTCTTCGGTAACGTTGTTGTACAACAAAAACATGGCATCTAAATTGGCCAATAAACAGCTTAGTCCACATTTCTGATCAAAATGACATCACAGTTTGTAAAGTGGACTTTAATTGGTTGGCGGGCAGGGTCTCATAGAATTTGCATGTAAGGATATATCAGACATTTGACCGTGGCTCTGCACACATGAATGTCTGATCTTTAGACTATCCATTTTGCCCCAGAACAAAGAAGTTAATGAAAGAGGGTGGGGAAATGCAAATATATATGACGCCATTTTGTTTTCTTTTAAAATAATCCTCTGATATATCCTCGAAGTCAGTTTTGATGCCTTTCATATAGTCAAACACCATTTAAGAATGCAACAAACAAAAAAATGTAGCTTAGAAAGAGTTGTTATACTGTACATGTTCTAAACGTTTTCATAACTGTGCAACTTTTGATTTTTTCTTTAAATGGATACAAATATTAAACTCTTTATATAGTAATGGATAGCTTTATTGGTAAAGTGGTGGGTGTTGTGGTATCAAAACCTGCTTTGATTTCTGATATTTTTATTGTTGAAATGAATAGTGATGAACAGTGACTAGTCACTTTACCCTCTCCGGTGTTGTAGTCTGTCACAGTCCTCACATATCAATCACAAGTCAGTCATTAGTCATGCAATCTCATTTCTAGTCACAAGCTATTCATGTGATCTGTTATGAAAACATTCCTTTGTTATTGTTCATCCTGCTACTTTTGACTGGACTTGTTGTGGGACTCGAAATTAACCGGTGACTGGACTTGTGACAGACTCAACTACAACACTTATTGTAAGATGGATAGATAATTGATTTAATAGTATAGGTATAGTCCATCATTTGTAATTTCTGCATTTTGTTTGTTTGAAGCAACAAAAGTGCTCAAAATCTAGAGAAGGGTGCTGAACAACTAACCTGATGAAGTTTCAGCTCAGCTTCAGCTGTATATTCCGAGAAAAACAGCATTCTAGGATCTCAATTTCAAATCAAAAGTTGCTGAATCATGTTTCGAATTGGGCCGGAATTCAGCGTCCGAGACACGTTCGCACTGAGCCGATTGCTACGCAATGTCCTGCACCGATCCGACGAATTATAGCAACCACGAGCGCATGTGCGTCTGTCAACACTTTCGTACGCTTCGCCGAATAAAAAAACGAATGACTAATGGAAAATTCCAACGGTGCGTCTTATGACACACCATTGGAAAGGCCTTCTTTTGTTGATTTCTTCAAAGTGACAGCATGCCATACAAAATAATTTCACAGTGAGTTTAGTCCCCTTACTATCAACCAAGTATGTTTTTCAACAATAATTACGCCAGTTACTTTTTGAATAGCTGCAAATGATGGACTGTAGCTTTAAAAGACAAATTTCTGAAAATTGGGATTATGTGACAGACAGGCACTACCTTTGACACTGCTTGAGAAGACATTTAAGCCATCCAGTTCAGCATTAGCGACGTCGTGCGATGTGATGAAGCGGGTTGCAATGGGCGTGGTTAACGCCCCCCACTTCTCCCCCTTGGCGTACTCCATGATCAGATGCACTTCATCGGTATCTCGTAAACTGGTCTCGTGGATATTGACTGAACTGGGCATGAGTGAATGCACCTTGGGCCCAATCGGGCCAATCAATAGAATCTGCAGAATACAAAGTATTGCAATATTACATTTCGGGTGGCATGGGTGGCTTGTGCGTAAAGCGCTCGCCTCTCACCAAGGCGACCACGGTTCAAATCCTGGCCGCGCATCCTGTATGGCCTGGCCGCGGATCACATGTGAGTAGAGTTGTGCGTTGGTTCTCTCCTGTGCAACGAGGATTTTTCTCCGGGCACTCCGGTTTTCCTCTTTCCGGAAAAACCAAACACTTTCGATCTCAGGCTTTGCTCCGTGGTCATGTATGGGTCGATGTGGCCGGCAGCCATAGGCCTCTTATACGTGCCAGCGGCCCGACCACGTTGTAGCTGCGTCCTTCGTAATTCAGCATATCAGCTGCGAGTAAGGATGATTAGCCTCCCCAAATTATTAATAAATTATTATTAGGCAGTTGTTATCATCAAGGTACGTGTAATGCACCATAAGTCATCACGAGTCAAAAATAAGTCATACGGTCCAAGGTCAACTCACAAGCTATTCAAATGAATTCCTTTGTTATTGTTCCTCACCTGCTACTTTTCACTGGAGTGAATGATTTTTTTAAAGTGCAGATTTTTATAATTAACTCCAGGCACAAGTGACCCATCAAGTTGAATGCCATTGCTGTTAAGTGTCCGCTGCCATGCAAAGATGATTTGAGTTTTTGCACAAATAAGTAACAAGTGGTAGCGTATACTTTGTACTTGAAACTTGTTTATACATGTGCACACAGTGCGTAGACAGTTTCACACACCATCTACTTTCCTTCATAGTCTACGTGTAGTATGTGTATTATTCCAAGACCGCATTTGGATTTCGTCGTCCGCCTAATTCACCTGGTCCCAGACAAGTGCAGTGAAGCCATTGCGGCGGTATGGGCTCTGTGCGCAAACACTAGAGGGCGCTTTTTTTATCACTTTTGAGAGCCCTGTGTATGGGACATACCGTGTGCGCGTACTGGTTCGCAGTATAGTATTGATGGTCATTCCATCTTGACAAAACAAATGTTTGTCATGTTTTGGTACATAGGCTTCATCGATAATCAAGCATGATGCATGTATTCTTACCTGGACATCATCTGTTAATTCTGCCATCTTGTAAGCCATCAGTGCTGCGTTTCCTCCTACGCTGTACTGCAATACATACATCAAAATGAAAATTAGTACTGTATGGCAAGGGCAGCTTAAACTCATGTGATCTGATGGCCCTGGCTTGGCTCTGAAACAAGGCACTTAAAAACCAGTATACTCAGCGGATGATGAACACCCACATCCCTGCTACCTCTTTTTGCTCCAGCTTGTCAGCCTCCTCGATGATTCTCTTGTAAACCTCTCCATTGGCAAAGTATCTCTCGGCAGCTGCCCCCGACTCAAAGAAGAAGGCAAAGCTTTCTTGAAGGTCCTTCAGTGAGTTCAGCAACGTGTGGTCTTGGCTTACTGCTGGCTGGATACCCAGCTTGTCAAGAAGGGATGTAGCAGACACTATCAAATCTGCGTTGACATTTAATCTGAAGAAAGGACAATAAAGTGTACATTTCTATCGGTCTAGCTTGTTAAGACAAGATAAGTTTGCGGTAGCACCATGTGAATACCAAGACAAGATAAGTTTGCGGTAGCACCATGTGAATACCAAGACAAGATAAGTTTGCGGTAGCACCATGTGAATACTAAGACAAGATAAGTTTGCGGTAGCACAATGTGAATACTAAGACAAGATAAGTTTGCGGTAGCACCATGTGAATACTAAGACAAAATAAGTTTGCGGTAGCACCATGCGAGTACTAAGACAAGATAAGTTTGCGGTAGCACCATGTGAATACTAAGACAAGATAAGTTTGCGGTAAGATCAGTTCTAGCTTGTCTAGATCGTTTGCGATGTGCTCTGCCAAAAACAGGGTCTTCTATGTTTTCTTTTGTTAAAATACTGAGGACCTTGTCTTTGTCTCATGAAAACTGTGGAGAATGTTGTCAGCCAAAGAGTGAGTAAAGTTGGCCTGATTTCATTCTGTATGTTTTTCAGTACTCCAGGTCCCAGTCTGGGAGTTGATATGACAAGAAAAATCCAGGTTACGATATAAATATTGACTCCTTACCCAACGGCTACACGCTTGACCCTTTCAGCTGGCTCTTGGATTTGTTGATCCCATCCCTGCAGGACCTGAGACTCAGCTGATGTCACTTGTCTGACATTAGGCTCAGTATTCGTCGACTTTAGATTGAAACCGTACAGGTAAGCGGCAGCAATGAGTGCAAATGCCAATATCAGTGGGCCCCATTCCATGCTTAGATGACTGCAGAAACACACAATTTAAAAGGTTATAACAGAAAAAATGTATTACATATTTGGGGAGTCAGGTTGGCGTAGTGGTAGTTTCCTTGCCTTTCACCACTGTGACCCGGGTTCGAATCCCGCCTGGGCCAATATGTGGATTGGGTTTTCAGTCCCTGCCTGATTCCGTGGCTTTTCCCCAGAATATTCTTCTGGGCTTTTCCTCCCACCTCTAAAACTGTAACTTCTCATTGTCTCCTCTCTACAGGTTTCTTCAGGCTTGCAAGCTACAGTGCCTAGGGTGCTTTCGAGGAATCCTTGGTTTCATTACCAGAAATGATTAATAATAATAATAATAACATTGTGGATACATTTATGTACTATACTTCAAAACCAAGGCAGTGATATATAGGCAATTGGCATCAACTAATTTGGAGTTTTTACGACATGAATTATCATACAGTAATGTTTGGAGTAAAATAAAGTAATAAACCAAATGTAAAAAGCATTTCCCCGAAAAAAAAAATCAACAATGGTCTCAGATATTGTGCACTCAAATTTGAGATCTATTCTACAATAGAATGGCCTTACAAGGCTGCTAGTACTTTAGTAGCAGCCTTGTGATTGACTATAAAGGTGGTTAACACAGTTATCCTACTGCACTGCTGTGCTGGTGGGTGGGCCAGGTGTGGTGTTTGATGAATATTTGCAAGTAACTGTGTGCAGTGACAGTGACTGGCCAAATATGAATATGAATGGCTGTCATGGTGTTGTTGCCACATTGTGGTTTATTTGTGGTCATAGGATTAGCTGTCTCTGTCTGGCACTCCTCAGCTCAGGTTTAATCTTGCTCTATGATCTATATAAAAGCATAGCCATTGTATCTCAATGAAGGTCAGCCATTGCAAAAATGCTGAAAAGACATGAATCTGGGCCGGGAGTAGCCCGATAAATGTGGCCAATTTACTGGACTACCTCCGTAAATAAAGGCCACACTTCCATCGTGTACAAAAACATGTCGAACTTTGTCAGATATTGTGCACTCAAATGTTTCATGTTGAAATTTTGATACGCAGACGTTTGCAAACGTATCTGGAAATTTCACAAAAAATAGACATCTGAAAAAGGCAGCACTTTCTGATTAGCCTAGTAGTAGTAATAAAGTAGTAGTATAAAGAGGGTGAGTATGCTTCTAAAGCAAAAATAAACTACAAACTAAGCCTAAAATGTGAAAATCAAAATTTGACAAAGTTCTACATGTTTTTGTACATGGTGGAAGTGTGGCCTTTATTTACGGAGGTCATGCAGGTAGTCCAGTAAATTGGCCACATTTATGGGGCTAGGCCGGGGAGTGGGACTGAGTCTGAGATGAGAAACAGTCATTGACAGTTTGAAAATGCACTTGACTCTCCGTACACAACCAAAGAAGTGGCGTGTAGATGGCTTTTAGGGGGCCATTCTTTCCATAAAATTAAGAATGACCACAAGAATAGATTAACTGAGAAAGAGAGCTAACTTACACTTGCACTTACAGCAGTTCTGGCACGAGTCAAAACTTGTACAAGCTAGTCCCACTGCCGAATTTAATACTTGCTGTTACTGTACGGCTTTGAAAATACATGCGCCTATGGATTTTGCTGAAGCCACTTCCCATACAAACGTGTGTTATACTGCCATGCCTAGTCGAAGCCAAGTATTTCAACGCGGCTAGCTATACCCGGTGAAACTGAAAGGTCAAAGTTGACCAAGATGGCGGCAAGCATGGACAGCAACGGTGTGAATGATGGGCCAAGGAAAGCGATGGATTTCGACTGTTGGAAAGGGGACTGGGGGTTACCTTCCGTCGATGTCAAGTGCCTTAATGTTTTAGTAAGATAGCAGCTTTTCAAATAGAGAAATACTCAATAATTCAAGTAACCTTGTATCCGTTTTTAGTGAGATTCGTCGAACTCGAATCGGTGATCGTTTTCTACCCGCCTTGGCAATAATGGAGGGCGCCACCCTGCACCCCTAACCATGCTAACCGCCGGAAAATGTTGCAACCTGACGCCACTACAATGGTTGTGTACAAAGTTTATGGAGAGTCGAGAACATTTTCTAAGTATAAAAATTGGAAATGTTTCCCAGTCCCAGATTAGTGTCTTTTCAACATTTTTGCAATGAATTGACTGACCCAGGCTTTATTGAGATGACAGGCCCATAAATTTAGGGGGAAAAAAGTGGCGTCGGGTGTTTGTTAATTTTGGGCAATATTTTTTCCCAAAATTCTGTTAAAAAAATACTCAGTCTGTCCATGGTCTGTCTCAGCAGAGTACTAACTAGGGCCTAAGCAGAACTCTCACAGGTGTTCAGGCTGCACAGAAAAATGATGATCAACATGTTATCTTTCATTTTCTTTTCAGTTAGCCTAGTATGACCATGGAGCTATAGCACAATCAGACAATACCTGGTTTCAAACACTTGCAGTGTATTAATTTTAACCCAAGTAGGAAAGATTCCCATATCTGGCAATCAGTAATTTTTCCTTTAAATGACCTTTCAGCCATCAGAAAATGATATTATATCCTAAAAAGTCAAACTTAGCAGGGACAATTTTTTAATGTTTTCTTAGAAAACACTTAAACATTTTCAGACCAGTCCCATAGGGTTTGTGCACAGGGTGACAAGTGATGGCCAGATATGGGAATATTTCGCACATGAAAATTTTGACATTATTGATGTTTAATTTGGATGTAATTTCTGAGGAAATTTTGAGACTTTTTGTCCCAAAATTGTCCAAAAGTACAAACAGTTTCCCAGTCATTTCACTTTCCTAATGTTCACACTGACTCACAACATACATGACATAACAGGCCAAGTACAAAATATGATTTTTCTTTTTTGAATTTTGTCTAAATTTTGTTTTGTTGTTTGAAAGGCCAAATAATTTGCTCTCTTCCACTTCGAAAGTCATCCTTGAAATAGATAGTAATATTCTATTTTTTTATTTCCATTTAAAGGGAATATACATCATTTGCTTTTGCTGTAATTTTCAGAAATGGATGGAACTGTGGGGTTGGAAATATATAGCAAATATAGTTACACTGACTTTTTTGAGGTTTTGGGTTCGAAAATGCTATAAAAACCGAGAAAAACAATCATTTTCCTGTAGTCTGGTTCCCTGACTCCATATAAGAAGAAACAGAGCAGTTTACATATGGGGAATTGTAAGGTCAGGGAACCAGTCTAGCTGGCTCGTACCCGTTCATAGGTTTGTAATCGATTGCAAACAAGTGCGATGGTCAATTGGGGCCAGTATTTGAAAAAAAGCCAGTTTTTTCCAACTCTGATCGGCCGATCAGCATTGGAAATTGATACAAAAATACCACTTTTCTTGAAAATGACAGTATACCAGGTGCCATGATTTTACAGGATGCTTTACACTGTCATTCACTAACAGTCCAGCAAGGTATTTCAAAAGATTTGGTAGTTTTATTTTTTTGATGTTTGCAAATGTTGTATTTTCCCTTTAATAGTTTTTTTTTTTGATGTTTGCAAATGTTGTATTTTCCCTTTAATAGACTTATGCCCAGATTGCTGGTATTAATCTGAAGGTTCACAAGAACAGATTTTGGTGGCGCAATCTTACCGGTAGGTACACTATACATTTAACAGACACACACGAACTTACATGTATGTGTACCGATAAAACCTTGTTGCTCTCTGTGATGGGAATGACTTTACTTGAGGCATTTGCAAGAAATCAAGTGAAGTGTCCTGTCTAACGCCCATTACACCAGGGTACTTCCAGACATTGTACCGAATCAAACAGGATTCAAAGATATTGAAAGTTTCGGGGAGAGGGAAAGGTCCAATATTGACTTGAGAGATCAAAATAAAAGTTGCCAGCTTGTGGATTTTAATACTGGCGTCTTAGCTTGCGTATGGATTTACCAACAATTAGGAAATTGGATTTTGGTGGGTTCAGTACAGTTAGAGTAATGAGTTATTGATTTTGCCCAATTTCAAACCCCCGCCCCAACCCACCTTAACAAAAATCAGAATGCAGGCGGGGCCCCCCTATATAGGAGGGACACTCCTCCATTCGAATATCTTGGGCTGTCACGTATATACCACATATTCGAATATTTGATCATCGATCGAATATTCCAATGGTTTCTAACCGGTTCGAATATTCGAGAGAGAAAAACTACCACGCCGCACACAAATTTTAACTGGAGCGCTTTGCATGCAACTTTTGATTAGCATGGCATGAAGTTAATTTGATCGGCGAGTTTCGAATAGTTGGAGGAAAAAAACCTGTTGCAAGTGATCAAATGCTTATTTATTCCAAAATGGACAACAAATACTAATCTCCTGTCTCCATGCGTTTCCTAAAAGCTAGATCAGACCCTGCTACGTGTAATTCATCACTCATTATGACATTGAATTTAATCACATATTTGAAATAATTAAAAGAAAACACATAGAGAACTAAAGTAAGCAAAAGTCAGAGTTGTGTGATCTAGGTTCATTTTTGTTAAAAAACACTTTGTCTATTTTCAAAGTGATGGTTTCCATCCTATGTATTTATTTTGATGGGTGTCTTTTTTCTTTTTTTTGACAGCTCATTTTCCAATATTTCAAGCTGCTGAAGATGTCCTCCGGTCAGACACTGAAGCCATTCAGTACCTGAAGGAGAATCAAGCCAACTTGGATGGCGACTTGACCGACCAACAACGAGCAGACATCTTGGCATTTAAGGCACTCATGGAGGAGAAGTACCTGCCTGGACTTGTAAGTGCTCTACCCTACCTCAAAAATTGCACGGTCCATGGCATGACTTTTACCGTGGAACATATTTTTTGAAAATGTCAATTCCTCTGAACTGCGTGACAATAATGTGACACCCCCTTGAGGACATTTACTTCAACATTTGAAATGTTCCAGATGCTGTTTCCTGCCAGTGTGCTGCTGCTGTGATGTCACCACAGGCACACACTGTAGAGTTAAGGAGTTTGCTGTGCAAAATATCAATCTAAAAAGTTGCTCATTAACCCTAACCATCCCAAATCCTCTTTGCAAAATGGAAGATTTGGCAGGATTGAGGCTAGATGGCAAAAATGTGTGGCTGATCTTGGAGGATGCACTGTGTCCAGGCCTTGGGCCGGACCTTGTGTTGTTTGTGCTCAGCAGTGCATAAATTTAGGCCTAGATTATGCTTGAAACTCCTCCGCACTGCTGCAGGATGTCACTGGCTCTGCCTCACCATATTGACAGTGATTGCTGGAGGATTTTGCAGGATTGAGGCAGTGGTCACCCCTGCAAGGACCACATTCAAGAAATAACGGAGGATTTTGCAGGATTGAGGCTGTATGCAATTTTTAGATGGAGGCAGTTGGAAGATTTTGCAAGATTGAGGTTGCATCCTAGCAAAAATGCCTAGGGAGTTAGGGTTAAAGACATTTTAACGTAATATATACATGTACTCATAAATCGACCGTCATGAACTGATCCAACAGTAAAACACCAAAACCATCAAGTTAGGAGCAAAAACCGCTTCATTTTTGACAACTTTTGATGTTGATGCAGCTGTAATACTGAAGCTTTTGTACCAAGATACGATCGGGGTGTTGCACACGAATATGGAAACTTGTAGGTCCTGAAAATCTTTTTAACTATAAACAAAGAAACTTAAATGGGACACAGTTAATTATACATTTACGGCTGCTTTTTTTCTGCACTTTTTTTAAGCTTCACGTGTGGTGGGTTGATGCTAAAAACTTTGTGGAGCTGACGCGGCCGTGGTACGCCAAAGCCTTGCATTTCCCCTTGAACTACTTCGTTCCTGGTCAGTTGAAACGAGCTGCTGAGAGTCGAGTTGACATCATCAGGGGAGGGGATCATATGGAACCACAAGAAGTTACAAGTAGGGTAAGTATACGACGAAACAAGAATGGTTCTATTCATAAGATTGAATTTTGCGTCGGGGTGATGTAAATCGATATTAGGTTTAGCCCTTCACCGAAGTATAAACACTGTATACTCAGTGTGTTACCTCCCGAGTGAAAGTTGGAAAAATCACTCGGGTGGGACTCGAACCCACGACCTCCTGCTTTCTAGAGCAGACGTCTTACCAATCGACCACCGAGCTTACGGGATCGGTTGGATGGTTCGAATCTGATGTACATAGCAGCGGGTACCGCATTTAACTTTTCATAAGATTGAATTTTGCGTCGGGGTGATATAAATCAATATTAGGTTTTGCCCTTCACCAAAGTATGAACACTGTATACTCAGTGCGTTACCTCCCGCGTGAAAGTTGGAAAAATCATTCGGGTGGGACTCCAACCCACGACCTCCTGCTTTCTAGTGCAGACGTCTTACCACTCGACCACCAAGCTAACGGGATCGGTTGGCTGGCTGGAATCGGATGTACATAGCAGCGTACCACATTTAACTATTCATAAGATGGAATTTTACGTCGAGGTGATGTAAATCAATATTAGGTTTTGCCCTTCGCCGACGTATAAACAATGTATACCTCCCAAGTGAAAGCTGGAAAAATCACTCGGGTGGGACTATAAGAATGGTTCTACTCCTATGTTACCACTGCAAAACAAAAATGAAAACACAAAAATATGGAGTTTTTTCCATAATATACAAAAAAGTCAAAATTTGTGAAAAACAGGTCAGTGCAAAGCCCCTTGAAGATTGTGGTTATGAAACACAGAATGCACAGACCTTTGGTGCTAATGGTTATGCAAATTATTGAAATATGGCATTGTTTGTCCTACTGTGTCTCTGCCCACACAGATTTTCCAAAGCGGGACTTTTTATGAGGTCATGGGCATGGGTGAGTCATGCTCCACAATTAGTAACAAATGCAAAACTAATCTTGTATTTTAGGCAGATCAGAGAAGACACAAAAGTTCAGGTTCATAGATAGATTTGCACAAATAAGACAATTGACAACCAAATTGTTCACAAAACAGGAAAAAATGAGGCTCAAGTTCCAATAAAATGTAAATTTTCAGCCCTGGATGTACTAAAGTAGAACTTGCCGTCACTGCAGAACAATTACTAACAATGTGTTGATTGAACGTCTAGGTTTACAGTGATGCTAAAGAATGTCTGAATCTACTATCTGAAAGACTCGGTGATGAAGACTTCTTCTTTGGCCCCGTGTAAGTATAACTGATCATCTTTTCCTTCTACTCTCAGATGTGATCATAAACAATTTGTAACACCTCATGTGGCCTAGTGGTGAAGGTTCGTGACTCATGATCAGAGCGTCTAGGCTGTGTCACACTAGAGCTTCTCAACCGGGTTGAACTCAACCCTGGGCAAACCTAGTGCTGCCCCGGGTCGATTTTTAAATTTTTTGCAACTCCGCATTCAGCCCCGCATCGCTTCACACTTGTTTGATGCAAACCGAACTTAAGTTTGTTCGGTTACTATTGTTTGAAACCCTGGCAAGAGTTTCAACCCGGGTTGAAAATCTCAACCCTGGGCAGGAGCAGGGTTGAGCTCAACCTGGGCGAAATCAATCTCGGAGTTTACGCAGGGTTGGCGCAGGGTTGAAAATACTCAATTGTGAAACAATGCATGTTTTTAACCCTGCGTCAACCACGCATCAACCCCAAGATTTGTCTAGTGATAAAAATAATAAAAGGCCTGTACAGGGGTTTGAATCCAGCTGCTGGCTATGTGTTGTGTCCATGGGCAAGCTACTTCACCTCCACTTGCCTCTCTCCTCCCAGGAGTATCAATGGGTACCGGCATTAGCTGGGAAGTAACCTGTGATGGACTGGCATCTCATCCAGGGTGAACAGAAACATTTTCAGTCATTTCATGTCAAGGAAACTGGGCATAAACCCCAGCCTGATGGGCCATATTTGCTCATGACAGATTTTACTCACTACTTTTCTTCATTGCCCTCAAGTCTTACTCATCTTCCTCTTTTCTCATTTAACATTCCCAGACCTACCTCCCTAGATGCCTTGATTTTCAGCTATCTTGCTCCGTTACTACGGGCCCCTCTTCCCAGCAATCAATTACAGACACACCTGAAAGCAACGGATAATCTCTGCAGGTTCTGCACCCGGATTCTGCTAAGGTACTTCCCTGATGAACTTCAAGGTACGATACCGTGTTTAGATCTAGAGTTCAAGTGTAATGTTAGCCTGACCACAGTGCGGCCACGAAGTGATTATTGCTGGCAATCTTATCTGCAAAAGGATATTAAGCTGAGGCCGATGACAGTTATTGGATTTATCACAAACCACTGATTGAATATCAAAAACCAAGTGAAGGCACAAGAGCACCTGCCAAAAGGTTCTCAAGCCAAACCCTAAACAAATCCAAAAAATCCCTCAAAAGGAAGTCTTTCATTGTAAACCCGTAGAAAAATATCTACACACTTACATTCCCCCCTTTTTCGCACTGTCCAACTGCTCACTATGTTTGTTTGAAAATAAAACATGTAACACACTGACCTGTCTGCATGCATCCAGTGTAAAATCTAAAAAAAAAATCAAAAAAATGAATAAACATTTTGAAAGCTATATGCATTCATGCGACATTTTCATGTCGTGTTGAACCAATCCTTTTTTAAAATTCAACAAGGCTTAAGGGCCCCCCCCCCCCCCAAAGTCTCTGGTTTCTGGTATGGGGCTTGCCCCAAAAGTGGTGTGGCGTCGCGGCTTTTTTTTTTTTACTTGTTTTTTTCTTCAAATGTCGGCTGATGACTGCAAATGGTGCCCTACTACATGTAAATTTAGTGCAAAATATATGGGAGTCCAGAGAGGCCACATAAAGCTTATACTCAATCGTAACCCCATCTAAAAACATGTTAAAATTGTGCAGCAGCAGGATTCCAGTCAAACCAGTGAGTTTGGCAGTTTTGAGACATCTTCTTGCATTGAAAAAAAAACTTGTTCATTTTGCCGACGCGCATGGCTACGGCGACGCGCGCGCATACCAGAAACCGGAGACTTTGGGGGGGGGGGGGGGCCTAATTCGTGGTAATTGAAGATTCAGTTTCTCAGCTCCAAATTTGACTATTTGAAGTGAGAGCTTAACCCATTAACGCCTGTACTACATTGTATTACATTGTGTTTAACAGGCAGTTTCGGTCGCTACAGTGTCTGAAGGGTTCATCTGTTAGTCCTTGTACTGCCCTAAACTGCCCTTCCAGTTACTCCCTATACTGCCCCAATACTGCCAGATGGAGCACGTTATGGTTTATCGATGCACCAGGCAATAAATACAATGTTATACAATATAGCACAGCTGCTAATGGGTTAAATGCCTTCTTTGTTTTCTCATCCCATTCAGATTCTGAGGCAAATTCTTCCAAGAAACCGACGGACGATCTCTTTGACGATCCCCACAAGCGACGCAATCAGGTTCTGTTTGCAGTGGTAGCGTTGACTGCCATGGCCAGCTATGCATTCCTGAGTGGTCTGGTGCGGGTGCAGATAAAGGATTCAGACAGTTCGGGGATTGAGTTAGACTATGACGACGGGGAAGAGGGTCAATAAAGACAGGGGTTTAAAAACAAAATGAAATGTTATTGAGATATAGAGCAAATTGAACTCCATGCTAACACAGTAGATGGCACTCAAGAGAGCCCCATTAGGACTAGGAGGGGCACACTGCTTTCCCGCATGTGTGTACGTGTTCTACATAACCCCCGAGGACCGACACACAAAGGGAGAACAACAGATCCTTTCAGTCCTCAGGAGTTGGGTCTTTTGCTGGAAACGGTCCTCTGTAGTAAGTTTGTGTGCTTAGTCTATGGGAGAGTGTTATATTACAGGGACACAGAGAAACACAAAGCATTGTCCTCGAGAGTGTAGTAAAACAAGAGAACATGTACATGTACAGGTTTCCTTATGGGGTAGAAAACACAATACTGAATAGAACAATAGACCCCATAAGGAAGTCTTTAGAAATCGATCCACCCCATAAGGGAAACACTATGGAGTTTTTTAATAGGAACAAAGGAAAACAAAAGAAGGGAAACAAAGGTCTTCCCTACAAGTAAATGTGTGTAAGGCTTTGTGCCCGTGCCTATTGCACAAAGACACAACTTATTTTATTCCGAATTTTCCCAACCCCCTAGCATCTTTACCATCTTGAAGATGGTAAATAAGCGCCCTCTCTGGTTGGCGCACAGAACTGATACAGAGACTACACTGTGGAAGAACTTGCACTGGATTTAGTGGCTGCTGTAATGTTCACCAACATTTTGTTCTAAATAAAAGTTTCAAGTTTTTTAAATCCTCAGTTCATGAAGACCACTTAAAGAATATGATTTATTGCTGTTAAGTTGTCACCTTTGGGTTTAAGTTCCGAATGCTCCACTGTAAAAGAAGTTTTCTCAGCATGCAATTCTATTTTTATGCCCCGCGGCGAAGCCGAAGGGGCATACTGTTTCCGCCTTGTCCTTCCGTGGGTGGGTGGGTGGGTGGGTGTGTGGGTGTGTGTGTGGGTGTTCCTGCATGGCATTACGCCTGAGGACAGACAACAAAAGGAGCACAAAGGGGCCATTGATCCTCGAAGGAAGGTGCCTATTGTCCTCGAACGCAGGTTTGTGTGCTTAGTCTATGGGAGAGTGTTATATTACAGGGACAAAGGAAAACACAAAGCCAATCCTCGGAAGCATAGCAAAAAACGACCGTGTGGGTGGGTGTGTGTGTCCGGACAAATCTTGTCAGCGCGATAACTTGAGAAATACTTTACATATGAACTTCAAATTTGGTTTGTGGATTGTCCTTGGTAATCCTAAGAAGCCTTTTGCATTTGGGGCCGAAAGGTCAAGGGTCAAGGTCACAGTGGCTGAAACAATAGAAATTTTGTCAGCGCGATAACTTGAGAAATACTTTACATATGAACTTCAAATTTGGTTTGTGGATTGTCCTTGGTAATCCTAAGAAGCCTTTTGCATTTGGGGCCTAAAGGTCAAGGGTCAAGGTCACAGTGGCTGAAACAATAGAAATTTTGTCAGCGCGATAACTTGAGAAATACTTTACATATGAACTTCAAATTTGGTTTGTGGATTGTCCTTGGTAATCCTAAGAAGCCTTTTGCATTTGGGGCCGAAAGGTCAAGGTTCAAGGTCACAGTGGCTGAAACAATAGAAATTTTGTCAGCGCGATAACTTGAGAAATACTTTACGTATGAACTTCAAATTTGGTTTGTGGATTGTCCTTGGCAATTCTAAGAAGCCTTTTGCATTTGGGGCCAAAAGGTCAAGGGTCAAGGTCACAGTGGCTGAAACAATAGAAATTTTGTCAGCGCGATAACTTGAGAAATACTTTACGTATGAACTTCAAATTTGGTTTGTGGATTGTCCTTGGCAATTCTAAGAAGCCTTTTGCATTGGGGGTCGAAAGGTCAAGGGTCAAGGTCACAGTGGCTGAAACAATAGAAATCTTGTATTTATTCTGAGATCATAGGGATTAGGGATTAATTCATATAAAACCTACAGAAGACACTAATGCTGTCAATGAACGTTCCATTTGACCAAGGTACATGTAAGTTGATGTTAGAGTGGTGTTATGTCATGGAAACAGTCACGGTTGCGGGGCATTTGTGTTTGTAAACACACCTGACTTGTTTTTTTTTATTACCGCAAGCTAGACTGAGTATCTTCATAGGCTATTTGGTGTAATTGTTGCACCAGTGCATTCAATTTGTTACCATGGATTTTCAGTTTGTTCTTTTGTTTTTGTCAGTGCATCCACAAATTATGAAATCTTATTAACGATGGGATCCCAATGATATTTAGAATACATGTTTATGTGTATATTTGTTCCATTTTGCACAGCTACAAAACACCTGCGGAAAAGAAAGACAATACATTTACATTTGATGCCCCATCTCACAATGAAGATTGTATCAGAAGGTCACATGTTATTGATTATCAAGTTGTGATAAAAGAATTGAACACTTCATTTGGGATGTTGAACAGTAAAATGTGATTTTTGGATACATATTCAGATTGCTTCTCACAATTCTGTTATCTGTGTAAGGATGTATCAGTAAGCTTGGTTTGTTTTATCTAATGAAACGATCAACTTGTTATAGTGTTTTTGTCAGTTTTCAGTTTGAAAGGCAGTTGGATATAAAGATGTGGCAATTGTCACACACTTTGGAAGCCATTCTGGTATAAAAAGTATATTTTATTTAGTGTCAGAACCTTTTATTTTGGTTTTGATTCTAATATTTCTCCCTAAAATATTTTTAGAGAGGAAAGAAGAGGCCAGGAAATTTCAAATGCACGGAATAAAGAGGCATACCCTTTAGAAAATATTAATTTGAAAATGCTATTTTACAGTACTGTACTAGGAGAAGTTGAGAACATGTAAAAACATCTGTACAAAACTTTCCAAGCTTTACAGAATTGGCTGAATCGTAATTGCACAGTTAGCAGACTTGTCATTCTGCATAATCAATTAATTAATTAATCACGGTTTGTGATAAAATAACAACTATTTGAAAGTAATAAAATCAAATTATATACTTTGAATAACATTTCTGTCAATGTGTTTTATTGCCAATACATTCCTATACGAATTACAAGCTTTCATAATAACAAGCATTCTCCTTTTGTGACATTACTGACATATATAAAGATCGTCTGGTGTGCAATTTGGTTGGTGGGGGCCGGTTGAGGGAATTATTTTATTTGGGATTAAACAAAGAAATGAAGCTTATTCTTATTAAAATATTAGTCTGTATTGCATCAAAAATGCTGAGAATACATGTATGGAATGTACTTTGAGGGAAGTTAATTAATTTTGACAACACCCCAAATGCCCCCCCCCCAAAAAAAAAAATCTGAAATATCAAACCAAAAAATGGCAAAGTCACCCCTGAGCAGGAATGTATTATTATTGTTAGGGTGTTTTGTGGTTTTTTTTTAAATTTGGTACCCCTTTATCGGGCTTGCATTTTCCTGAGAAGTTTGGAATATTTATTTGGGTTTTTTTTTACAAGTAATAATGCATTATGCATTTACATGCATCATCAGCACCACGTGCTCTCCAGGGAGCCCCGTTAGCCTCGCTATGAGTTGTAAATAAACAATCCAACATGGCGGCCTGGGTAAGACTTTGTGTGCATCAGGTTCTGCGAAGTTCGGTAAGAATTTCTTAGTATACGATTGATCAACATTGATTGAAGTTGGCACAAAGTTAGAAAACGTAGTGTTAATGGTAAAGGGAATTGGACGACTTGGATAAGGGTGTGTATAGTGCCGTTTGCTGGCCGTCCATTCCACCGGTTTCCGTCGGATGGTCCGATCCCGTACGCGTTTGCACGCTATCGCTAGACTACGTGGTCATGGTGGTGTACGTGACTAACGTCATGACGTGGTTTTGGGTCATCTCGGTCCCATATCAACTCGGTGTGAGTCAACTCGGTCCTACTCCTAGGTCAACTCGGTCCAATGTCAACTCTGTCCCAAGTCAACTCGGTCCCAAGTGTACTTGATCCTAAGTCAACTTGGTCTATTTAATGTCGTAATTATGAAACCCTAACTGACCCTAGAGTCCTAGACCTTTTTGCTAGGAATAGGATTTCAAGCATAATCCAGGCCTATATTGTATATTTATGTATGGCTGAGCAAAAAACAACACAAGGTCCGGCCCAAGACCATGACTAAGTGCATCCTACGAAATCAGTAACACACTTTTGCCATATAATCTCAATCCTCCAAATTCCTCCAATTTGGCTACGAGGATTTTGAAGAATTCAGGGGGGTTAGGGATAATTGTTATGGGAAAATGTACGTAAATAAAGGTCGGATAATTTTTAGTAGTACTATTAGTTCTCATGTAACATGACCTTGAGTATTTGGACGATAGGGAGCAGTACTGTGCGCCATGGCGTTGTTGGCGATCATGTAGTTACAGGCCCCTCTTTATTACTTTCCATCAAATTAGAGTCAAAGGACCTTTTTGGATGTTAAATGACAGATATTGCCAATGGATTTAGAATTGCTACCAATGGCAAACTCGTATTCAAATGTAGGACGAGTACAAACTAAACTTTTGAAATGACCATTTTTTTCTTCAGAATGTTCAGCATTCTTCGTGTATATATTATGGAATTACTTCACAAAATTGGAGCCCAGCCCCTCACCCCACCAGACTACCTTGCGCGGCTCCACCCGCTCCCCCCCCCCCCCCCCACCAGTCCCAACTACACATACCAGTCCCAACTACCACCAGCTCAGCACAGCCCACCACGGCACAAACATCATACTAACAATTAAGGCACTAGCGCTTGGCCCAATCCCCTCCCAAGCCCTGACCCTGGTCTCGGCAAACCCAGGCCTGCCCAGCAATCTCCGCGACCCGCTTCCACCAAGCCGCGGACTTAACTTATCCTGGCTCTATCTGCTTGGCCAGCAAACCCAACCCACCATTTTTTTTAAAACTTCTTTGGTATGGAAGCTGTTTGGTTTATGGGAGCTGCAACTGCAAGATAGGCTTTCGGACCTTATTTCCCTTCCCAAAAACCTCTTCGAGGTCATTTCACAAGAGACCTTCAAATTATCCGACCTTTATTTACGTATATTTTTCCATAGAGACCAAGTAGACTGGGTACCAAGTTGACTGGGGACTGAATTGACTTGGGACTGAGTCAACCTGGGACTAAGTTGACCTGGGACTGAGTAATGAGTTGACCTGAGACTGAGTTGACTTTGGACCAAGCTGACCGGGGACCGAGTTGACTCGGACCGAGTTGGTTTGGGATCGACCGAGTGTAGACCTGCACCCACTAACATTATGTATGAGTGATCTGTGATCAAGGTGTAGGCCAATATATCCGGTCGTTGTGTGAAACCCTAGCTCACGCCCAAATGCTACATTGATCTTATTAAGTCATCAAACTTCCACAGTCTTTGGAAGCGTATATTGACCTCGAACATGTCAAACAACATTTTAAAATGATTATTCAGTTTAATTTAAGGCAGTGTATATTTGACCATGAACCGGTCCCCGATTATTTTCGCTCCTGGAGCTGTGCCGGTGTCACATTAAAATTTCGGCTCCTATGAAAATCGGACCCCTATTTCCCTATTATTGGTTGATCCCTCGCACGTGACAGGTCACTCTCCCGAAACTATCCTAAAAATAGTGCATAGTATCGTACTCATGCGTGCGCAGTACTACCAATGAGTCTACATTTCATGGAGTCGGATATTCACGCTACACCGGCACTGCAATGAACATGCACAGTGGATATTTTGAAAGCACTCTTATCTGGTTTAATACATCACTAACACAGGAATACTAAGTTTGGGCCTGTGTAAGTATAACTGATCATCTTTTCCTTCTACTCTAAGATGTGATCATAAGTTTAGGTTTAGAATCTCAAAACTTTACTCAACCATGGGCACATTTTCAATGTGCCAGATTTGTGCATTGAATTTGCCATTTTTGATTGCAAATAGTTAGTATTACAGCAAATGCAGGAAGATTCCTAGTGAAAGAGACTAAGTTTTTCCAATAAATTTCAGTGGTTTGTTTCCGTTGCAGACTGCGTGCCTGTCAAGACGTCATTATTCAGACAGTGTATGGAGCCTTGGAAGACTGAACCATGTGGCCATAGCTGTACCAAATCTTGGTGAGGATTGCAGTGTTCAAGTGTGGTCGAGTCCATCACAAGTCAAATCACAAGTGTGGTCACTAATAGAAACAGGGGATGAGGGAATCTCATTTTGATTTGATGAAGGAATCCTATTGTCACATTTTATTTGAAGAGCTGGTGAAATGGCATTGACTTGTGGTGAGCTTGTGATGGACTTGTTATGGACTTGTGATAGACGTGATTACTGGAGAACTGTATTCCAATTTATCATTGATACAAACCTCAATACTTGGTTTAATTAACTCCCTAGGCCTTTTTGCTAGGATGTAGCCCTGCAAAATCCTCCAATTGACCTCATGGGAAAAAAAGCATATAACCTCAATCCTGCAAAACTCCTCCATTATTTCTTGAATATGGTCCGTGGAGGGGTGACCACTGCCTGAATCCTGCAAAATCCTGCGGCAGTGACTGTCAATAATGTTGAGGCTTGGCCAGTGACATCCTGGAGCAGTACGGAGGATTTCAAGCATAATCCAGGCCTATATTTATGCACGGCTGAGCAAAAACAATACAAGGTCCGGCCCAAGACCTTGACAAAGTGCATCCTACGAAATCAGTAACGCACTTTTGCCATGTAATCTCAATCCTCCAAATTCCTCCACTTTGGCAAAGAGGATTTTGAAGGATTCAGGGCGGTTAGGGTTAACGTCTGTTCTATGGGTGTGCACGGAAACCGGGTACCCTACATGTATTGAAGTAAAACACTGGTACCCGGGTACCCGTAAAAGAAACCCAACCCCAAGTTCAAATCCCGGGAGTTGGTGTTCAGATTATTTGTAAAGGTGCGTAGGATAACACTACCACATCAGTGCATCAGTGCAGCAAGATACAAGTGTGTACAGCAGGTTCGACTTTAGCGATAGCCTTCTAGCCAAATGCTAGTCAAAACAGCGGCGGGCTAGTCAAACTATTCCTTAAGTAGCCCGGCTGGCAAGTCAAAAGTTTTGGGGCTACTGCAAAGATGAAAGGACAGGAAGAAATCAATCATTAAATTCAGAAAGCAAACCTGTATCACTTTGTGTCTAATTTCATTAAATGTTTAGGCTTAAATTATTAGATGTGTTTATTAAAAACACTGACAAGATGGCCTCAGGATACACTTTTTACATTTATGCACATTGTGGTTCATGAGACACTCTATAAAAGAAAAACATGTGGGCCAGTGAAAATGCCTGCGGGCTAGTTAAGTGTCTGTTTCAGTGGCCCGGCTGGCTAGTGACAAAAACAGTTAAGGTCGAACCCTGGTACAGTGCGGGTGAAAGATTTGCAACTTTAGAATGCACATAATTGTGAAATCATTTTGATTTGCCATGTAGCCTGGATTTCATTTTGAAAATTCCTAAAAAGGGCATAGAAAACCTTTCGTTTTCAGTGTCTGAGAAGTTAGCAAGTGATTTGTCAAGTTGGTTACAGGTACCCGATCCCATAATCTGGAACCGGTTCCTGAAATCAGTGGTCAGGTATTTCGGTAAAAAAATGCCTTTGTTGTTTGGACTGATTCAGTTAGTAATACTGTGTTTGTTCCAATGTGAATAGATCTGATCAATGAAGAAGTGCATATTTGTATGTGACCACACTCAAGTGAAAAAAACTGTTTAGGAAAAAACATTTCAAACTTTGCTTTCCTGGATCCAAATATCATTTAGTTGCAAAGATACGTGTTGTTTCTGATTTGGGTTTCTAGTAATTTGAACTATTTGGCGAATTGACTTGAGTAAAAATATAGAGATGTTTTTATGAATGTAGACTTGATAATATATTTCACAGGTGATGCTGTCAGGGTATACAAAGATGTTTTTCAAGCCAAAGTCAGTGAGCCACAAGTAAGTAAATGCCGTCAATACTACCGATGTGTATGGTTATATAGATGGGTTGAAATGACGTCAAGAAATTGACGGACACACTGGCAGACTCAAGGGGGGTCTGACTATAGGGTACATTGTCTTTCCTCCCATTAAGAAGCCTATTTGTTTCCTTAGTAAGCCAGAAAATAAGTGAACGCAGTTATTTTTAAAACAATATTATAGTATACCCATCCCCTTCTATGGATTCAGGACAAATTAATAACAAGAATGAAAGGAAAAGGAAAAAAGAGCACCCCTAACATCCAGTGGGGTCCCCCCGCCAACTTTTCCAATTTGCAATGACTGGATAGTACCTCAGTAAGCCCCTTCTGATTTTGGCCCCCTACCCTTCCCCCCCCCCCAAAAAAAAAAAATTGATGCAATATGTGGATGGGTTGAAATGTCGGTGAGTAGCTGAGCCCTAGATTCCCACTTGGAACCCCTCTTCCACCCCCACTCGAGGGTTGGACTCCATAATGATCATGTCCTCTTGGTCGGATAGCTTTCCTCCACTCCATCTACTCGGTTCAATGTCAGACTGGCATCGATCTGCATGCACCTCAGGTCGTTGTTGATGTTGTTGTCGCTCCACCTCTTCTTTGGACAGCTATGTGGGTAGTTGCCAGGGATCTGGAAGTCGAGGATCTTCCTTGGCCAACTGTCCTTGTTGATACGCTGGAGGTGACCAAACCAGCGAAGGGGTCCCCGACGAACCAACTCGTCAACAGCAGACAGACTAATTTGGCGCCTTAGCTCAGCCATGGAATTCCTGTCCCACAGCTTTGCTGAACAAATCTATCTGGTCATGGCAAGTGAATGAATGCACAAGTAGTGTCCCCTGTGTGTGCCAGCCAGGAGTATCTCTTTCTGTAATCATTTAGGGGGTGCTTGTACCCAAACAAAAAGTTTACCCAACAAGTACAATTGATTGCAGACAGACATGTAAATATGGCCATATTCTGATTTACAAGCAATACTGACAAAACCACTTCACAGCATTACTTAGGCAGGATTTGAACCATCACCTTCAGTGTATTAGTGCAGAAGTCTCAACCACTCAGTCTCCAAGCTTTGTTGGGGGCCGGGGGGTGAACCAGCTGATTGGAGTCTCGGTCTGAAATCTTTTTGTTGCTGGTTCATCCATACGAATACACTAGTTTCTTGAAACTTGTAATGAACGTCACTTGCCTCCTGGACGGTAATAACAGGACCTTATTTTCTTTGTTCTTAAAAGGCCCTTCCTGAGCATGGTGTGACTGTAGTCTTCGTGGAGCTGGAGAATGCTAAACTAGAACTACTACATCCCCTAGGTGAGAATAGCCCCATTGAAGGCTACTTGAAGAAGAAGCCAGGGGGTGGTATGCACCACTTATGTCTGGAGGTAAGACTTGGGCCCAATATCACGGCGCTGCTAGGCACACAAATTTGCTTAGCACAAAAAAGTCTGGCTTATAAAAGCAGGTTACCATGCAAAACTCCATGTTATATTCATGCTAAGCAAACAACAGGTGAATACTAATCACGAGCACTATACATCACGTGGAGTTTTGGCTGGTAACCTGCTTTTATAAGCCAGACGTTTTGTGTGCTAAGCAAATTTTTGTGCTTAGAAGTGGCATAAAATTGGCCCCTGTACCCTTGAGATGGTCTACATTAATGTTGTGCAAACCCAACAGAAACCGACCCAGGCCCTAAACCGACTTCGGGTCGGGTTGGGTCGGTTTTTCCATCATTTCAGTTGGGTCGGTTTCAGTTAAACGTTTGCGATTTTAGGTCGGGTCGGGTTGGTTAAGCCTGCTTGTGAAAAACCCGGAGTAAACCAGGAAAAAAATAAAACAGTTCGGAAATGTATGTGGTGAAATATTATTGCAGAGTTACTGTGTGGTTTACGGTCTGTCACGTAGAGTTTATAACGTGTAGGCCCACCAGTAGGTAACATAATGAGTCTTCACTGTACCGCATGGTATGATTCTGTACTGAGAGACGACGATTTTCACGTGACGTAGGTAGGTTCAGGTACAAAAGCATACACAGTTGCTCAAGCAAGATATTTGGGTCAGTTTTTGCTTGATTATTGTCGGAGCACGTTGGGTCGGGTTTGGTAATGGCTTCTTGTATATATCACTCATGTCCGTTCCAGACACTCTATTATTACCCTGGCTTTAGCACGGCTGCCAATTACGGCGCTCAAGCATTGAAGGAATTTCTTCCTACCAGGTACCCATTTACTACATCTGGGTGGAGAGAGGCAATCGTAGATAAGTGCCTTGCCCAAGCACACACGCACCATGTTCCCCATCAGCATTCGAACCCATGTACCACGGCACATGAGTCGAACACCACAACCATTGGTCCACAGCATCTGGGGAGTTCAGATCGGTTTCAGTTTGGATTTGGTTTATATCTACATGTATAATGTTTCAAGTCAGTTTCGCCTGGCCAACCCGACCCTACACTCTACATGTAGGGTACAAGACTAGGCAAGCCAAGTACAGTTGGTCCCAGAGTGCACCAAATTCAGTTGATTCAGAATGACTATTAACTGGAAGTTGTTTCATGCATGTGCTATCCGCTCTGTTCACAAGTACCCCTTCACTGGCAAACAAAGTACAGTTGGGGTGACTGACCGACGCCATCTTGCCTGACTGCAGTTTTGCAGCTACTCGTGGCAGTACCAATGTGTGTACGTATTACAAATTCCCTGGTGTACGTTCGTCACACACAAGGAACGGTGCGCGTCAACCAGCTAAATGTCCCGCCCATGGAACGTCGTTGCTAGGTACAAGGGCGCCCTCTTTCGTTGGCGCATGGAGCCCATACACAAGAGGCCCATTCATTGGCGTAATCCTATACGATAGCACTGGCAGGTCACGTGACAGTCAGAGGGATGGGTACAAAGAGGAAGCTAGGCTGGCCCTGTGGGACCTGCAACAGTTCCATCGTCAGAAAGGTGGTGGTGGAGAAGCTGTTATGGGCTTCGTGCGCCAACGAAAGAGGGCGCCCTGTTAGCTAGCAACGACGTCCCATGGGCGGGACATTTAGCTGGTTGATGCGCACCATTCCTTGTGTGTGACGCACGTACACCAGGGGATTTGTACTATATACACGCAGTGGTACGGCCGCGTGTCACGGCAAAATGGCAGTCGGGCAAGATGGCGTCGGTTGGTCAGCCCCAACTGTACTTCTTTGCCGGTGAGGGAGTACTTGTGAATAGAGCGGATAGTACGGATAGTACTAGAAATAAGAATTCTGCAGGTAGCTCTAAGATGCATGTTATACAAATCTAGATTGAGCATGATTAAAGAATGGGAAACATGTGTGCTTCAGAGGTTTTAAACACTATGTTTAAGACTGGTTGGAGTCTGGATGCTGATATTCGGCTCGGGTAATTATCAGCATCCAGACTCCAACCAGTCTTAAACATAGTGTTTAATACCGGCCAAGCACATATTTATTCCCATTCTTAAATACCTTTTCGGTCAAAAAAAAAATCATTTCCATCAACAAAACACCCCTCTGGCAGGCTATACAGTGGTAAGGCCCTCTGGTAAACAACTCCTTGTATCGCACTGCATGATGTTGCGCACAATGCAGATGTACCGGCTTAGTGTGAAGTTAGTACTATGAAATACTGAGTATTGCGCATGACTACGTGAGGATTGTGAACCAATTAAAGCAATGAACGGTGCTGGCACCGGATTTCATATAGGAGTCAAAATGACACTAGAAAAGTGTTTTAAGACCAGCCAGCCATGTCTGTATCAACCGTTTGAGTCCGGCCATGTGACACACTCTTGACCAATAGGAATTTAATTGGATGTTAAATTTGATTGCATTGTATTTAGTTTTTGTTCTGGGAGGGATCAATTCTGTCCTGAGCAGACTGCTCAGGACATTAACAAGGGTTCCAACGCATGTCATACTTTGGGGGGCTGTTCATCATAGGCTACATGTAGTATGCGGGCGCTTAGCCAGGGTTTTGTTTGCCCAGTGTAAAATAGAATTTTCATCCAGTTTAACCCATTTTCAGGGTCCTGATCTTGCGTCTTCCAGCAATCTGCCACTCTGCACCCCCCCCCCCCTAGGCTACGCCACTGCTAATATGTACTGTAGTTGGCCACGTTTTAGATTTTTCATTTTTAGGTATGACAGGAGAGGGGTTTAAACGAATCTGCCACATCCCCCGCACCCCCCCCCCCCAAATATATTTGGGTTAGGGTTATCTGTAGCGAAACGAAGAGAAACACTCAAGGACATCATGATCAGTAATTTGGGTTGAAAGAGTTTTCAATGTGCGCGTGAAACGATTTCCCCTCCGATTTTTCTTAACTACACAAAAAACAAAGGAATGTCCACCAGCTATGTAAGGTAATTATGAGTTTGTCTTACATTCACTATGTGGACTTGTGAACAAAAGATGTCCAAATAATGCAGGTTGTGTTGACGTCATGTGGACTAAGCCGTGTCCACATAACGTTTCCCCCCTCTCTGGAAAACAGGTTAAGAGGCATTTTTGGATTAGGTTTATCCATGGCAAAATGAAGAGAAACACTTAAGGGAATCATAAGGAAAAAAATGGGTTGAAAGAGTTTTCACAGTTGAGTAAAGTTATTTTTTGTACGGAGTTTTCTTAACTACACGAAAACAAAGGAATGTCCACATAGCGTATGTAAAACAAACAGGTGTGTGTGTGCGTGTGTGTTTCTTTTTTTTTTTAACACTCAGCAGCCCTTTTGTTGAATCTGTTACAAAATGTTCATTTAGTTCACAAAAAAAGCAATTTGCAGTACATGTGCACGTAGCTATTCTATATCAGCAGTGCTCAACCAATTACTCTGGAGCGTAGGTGGCTCCCTGACATAGCCGCAGCAATCTCTCTGTGTGGGCAGTGCATCGTGCAGACAGAGTATCGATCGATTTCAAACATCCATTCCCGCATCTGTTCATTTGCATGTTAAATGCCTAATTAATCTTCAGCCCCTGTCGGTCATGCTTCTCTGAATTCACAGTAATATATCAAAGTTTGAAATGGATGATTTTTCATGTACATGTGTATGGCTGGGTCATGCCTGCTGCACTCTGAACACACAGTAAACATGTTTCCTATAGGTGCCTCTTTGTACATCTATAGATTCACTTATCTAAACTTCTATGCCACAAAGACTGAATTGTGAGGGGTTAGTTCAACAGTAGCTGGCAGAATTTATGTCACAATTCATACACAGAGGCATGCAGGTCTGTGTACAAGTGTACATGATAACTGTGTTGTACAAACTGCTATCATGCATTGTGATTCAGTCACGAGTCATGCCACTAATTATACCCAAATGATTCAGAGTCTTACACACACACTGAATTTGGCAGTCAATGACAGCAAATGGCCTTTGTGGATCTTTTGTTCAATCAAGATGAAATCACATTTATGATCCTTGTTAAGATACGTGTATTTGTCATCACCAGAACATTAGATCATTTATTCATACTGTATGTGTCACATTTTGGAGTAAAAGAATTCCGGTCAGTAACACCAGTTTCCACTCTGGTGGTATGAATAAAGTTGCTGGTGACTGACGATTGATACAGTTTCCTGCATAATATAAAACAAAATCTTATTTGTCCTTGCATGTACATGTACATGTATGCATTTACTGTGTTATCCCTTGAGTTCAGTCTGTATTTCTGGAGTGGACAAGAAATAAGTGAAAAATCTGCATAGGCAACCAGTACATGGTATGCGGACAATAAAAGGTAGGGCCTGTAAATTCAATCCAAATTATGAGTCTGTATTTAAAGAACGATGGACACCAGTTCTGGTAAAAAAATGACTGTGCAAATGCGTTGCTTAAATATTTGTCACTTCAAAACCACCAGAATTTGACTTTGTATCAGGATTAGGAGGATTGTCAACCAGTACATGGTATGCGGACAATGAAAGGTAGGGCCTGTAAATTCAATCCACATTATGAGTTATATTTGTAAAACCATATGGACACTAGTTCTGGTTAAAAAAAATGACTGTGCAAATGCATTGCTTAAATCTTTGTATGTACAAATGTATGTTAAGCCAAAAAAAAAAAATTCTGTCTCTGGTCAGCGCGCGCGTCGATCTTTTTTTTTCTCCAAAATGTTCCGCGGTAGCTCCAACAGCGCCCTCTATTGCCGCACCTGCTCAATTTTTGTTACCAAAGAGCACCAAGGAATGGAAAATTGCACCTAGGCAAATGATCGAGAGCACCAAGGCAAATTATAGAGGACACCAATGTACATGATGACACCAAAAAAGCACAATAGTACCCCACTTTGTCTGTACAATCCAAGCTTGATGGAAAAAAAAAAAAAACGCGTCCCCGCGTCAATTCCGGAACTTTGGTCTGACCAGAG